TTTAGCGTGACCGATCTCATGCAAGGCTGGGCAAATGAATAAATTAAAGCGAGAAACTGAACAAGAAGACGAAGCGATTTAATAACAAGATTTTTATTCTTGATGTTAATCCTCAACATTTGCACCATTTCTTTCTAAGCAAACTGCAGCTCGTCTGAGCATGGTAAACACTGAACGGCGAACCACATTTGTCTGTCCTGCCTCAAATTATCCATTTCGTTCGAAATTCTTTCTTGCAAATCGCCTATACGCTACCACCGGAAAATCTAGGCGAATGGACAGACAAATGGTTCGCTGTTCAGTGTTTAGTATGCTCAGACAAGCCGCAGTTTGCTTAGAATGAAATGGTGGACATGCTGAGGATTAACATCACGAATAAATCGCTTTGTTTTTGTGTTCAGTTTCTCGCTTTAATTTATTCATTTGCCCACCTTGTATGAGATCGGTCACGCTAAAATCAACGATGCATTTAATCCACTGCGCGCAATGAAATATTTGTCACCTTTAGGCGTCGCGCGTTGCTCCCAGTATGCATTATTTTTCCTGAAACTTTGACAGTTTATTAAAAAGCTTTCCTACTTTTAGACAGCTAAATAATATCTCAATTTCAGCTTCACATTTTCGCGCGCAAGCCCTCTCAATATTAGTGGAAAGGAACCACCCCCCCGGTAACATAATTTTGTTAATGAAAAACCAAACTTGGCCTAGATATACCAGATAAGTCTTAACTATCTCTAGGAACACAAAAATTTGCCAAATTCTGCAAAATATCCTGAAAAACGGAATTTTTACATTTGGGACATTTTTTTTGATACACCCTGTAGAATAATTATCTACTCCTTCGACTTGGATTTGATTAATCAGATCGTCAGTAAAAGACTTGGAGCCACATAACCTTTTAACTTCATTCCACCACGTTTTTGGATTGTCTTGTTTCATATGTCCCACTTTAGACTGATAAAATTTAGCTTTAATCACTTTCCTTTCTCGGTTTACTGTATTTCTATAAAATTTGTACTGCCTTGACTCAGCGCCATGTTTGTGAAAGGCATTTTGCCGATTCAGAATTAAAGACTTTAAATGTGGGGTCATCCACGGGGCATCTGTCGAATTTACGCGAATCTTCTTAACCGGCATTAATATACTCAGTCCGGTGTGCAATACATTGTTAAAAATATTCACCAAATCCTCGCATGATTCCAAGGATGAAAATAGTGTAGGCCAACATATTCCACTCAAATACCTTCCCATCTCTGCCTTTCGACTAGACCGTTTATCACGCGTATATACGAATTTATTAACGTTGGAATGTTCTCTTTCTTTTCCCTCAGCCGTAACTGTATTATGATCTGAAAGACCAAACGGTGGAAATATACATGGGTTTTCGTAATAGTCATGCATATTGGTTAATATTAGGTCAAGAATTGCGTTCTTCCTTGTTGATTTCTTGACAATCTGTTTAAGACGGAAATGCTCTTTAATGGAACTGACATTTAAACGATTAAAATCACCTGCAATGATGATTGCGCAGTTTGGGTATATCGACTCAGCTCGTGCTAAACTTTGGAACAAATGTTCGCGCATGTGGTCGTTCTCGCCTGCTGTACAATGAGGATGGTAAATGACTGCGACAAGAAGACATGGGTAAGCGTTTGGGACGTATGTGAAGCCAAAAAATTTCATGGTCTTCGCAACAGGAAAGTGACTCCAATTTTTTATACTTAAAACAATCGTTTTTTATATAAATACCAACCCCACCATAGCTATCAGACAAGCGATCTTTCCTCATAAAGGAGTATCCATCAATATCCACAACCCCGTCTGTAATAGTTGGTCGCAACCAAGTTTCAGTAACAAAAGCAATACTTATCTGATTGCGATTAAGAAAATCTTGTACTTCTTCGATTTTGGGCACCAAGGCTCTAACATTTGACACCATAATCTTAGGAACATAAAATAGATTTTTCTCTTTTTTGTTTGGTATGGTGTAAGTATCAGAGGCAGTACAATCTAAACTAGTGTCTCCATTCGGCGAGGGAAACCTAGAAGTCTGATTAGGGCTGAAACAAGGTCTAAATGCTTTCTCCAGGATCGTTTCCGTTCTGACAATGCGTTCATTCGAAAAAAATTCCGGTGATGCCTTGGATGTGATTTATTTCGTCTGAAGGGTGGTTTCGAATATGTCTTAAAACGGCTATCCTGCCCATATTGCCGCTTAAATTTAAAATTTTGGTGATGTCTTTGATGCGATCCGTTTGATCTGTAGGGTGGTTTGGGAATTGTCTTATAACGGCTATCCTGCCTAGGCAGATGCTTGGATTCGAAGTCTTGCATTGTCTTTTCAAGTCTTGCCACGCTTGTAGCTCCAGGAGTTTTATGAGTAGTCATCGTACATATGCGAGTGTCAAATAACTTGTTTTGGTTGGTACGATATTCCTGCAATTGTCTATCAATTTTTCCCGCTACTGACAGATGTTCAATGGTTGTATGACTTGAGCTTTATAATTGATTATTTTCTTCGATAACAACAATATCTTTATCGTTGTCTAGTTGTGTGTTTTTGTGGCCTTGTTTGTTACAATAATCTAGCTGTTCGTCAATTTCCTCTGTTACTGGTAATTGATCAATGATTATATAATTAGGGCTTAACACACGATCGTCGTCAATAACAACTACGTTTTCGTTGTTTTTTTGCATACTAATCAAGTCATTAGTATCAAATACTTTAGAGTTTAACTGATGCTCATTTTCATCATGTGTGGGTGGCATGTTAATGAGTTCAGTATTACCCGTGGTGTTTACTGAGCCGTTTCGATATAAATCAAATTCTTGCTGAAGGCGTTTAACTTCTTGCTCTAAACATATATTTTTGAACTTTTGTTCCTCGAGATCAACTTTCAATAGCGCTATTTCATTACTTAGTTCACATACCCTCGGTGTCGTTGCATTCCTCTGCGAATTCATTAAACTTTGCATTGAGTCCACTCTGCTTTTCAAAACTTCCATCTCCAAATTTAAATTGTCTAGACACTCATTGAAGTCAATGAAACCGGTTTGGTCCGCCAGTATATTTGTACAAAGTTTTATTAAACATTCTTTTGCTCGCTTTCCAACATCACCATTAAAGGTCAGAGTGTTGTGCTTACCGCGGGATACCATATTACTACGAAATCGGATGTAGAGGAATCAAACCTTTTTGCGCTGCTTCCTGGCAGCCACCATTTCCCGTGTTGACAAAAGACATTTTCGATAAATACTTTCAACGAATCGTAATTATTGCACCATTTTGCTCTTGTTCCATCATAGACAATTTTCTTAGATGATATATACACTTTTAATTGATTTAAATCAAAGTTATCATTGAAATTATTGACAATTTTGTCAGAAGAGTCTTCAACACGACCGTCCGCCATGTTAGTATGGAACATTACTTAGAAGATTCTATCGTATTTAGAATAAATGAATAATAGCCTATATAGTCACCTCATATCATTAACCAGGAGGGTTAAGCCGAGTAAAAATCATCCTGTGGACACCGTTAACATGGTACCGGGTTACTATCGAAACAGGTGAGATTTGTTTGTTGTGACGGTAGAGATTAAGTTATAACAATCGTAATTTATTCGCAATAACCCATGAAAATCATTGTTTATTCAAAAATGACAGCCTGCAACGAAGCTTGGATCTTCAATGCGGCAATCAATGAACTCAGATTGTATATTAAAAGTGTTGCAGACTTTCTGTTCGTATTTTGTTTACAAATAAACGCACTTGCTGATCATACATTGAACTCGAAATTTCAATTTCAATATTGAAATTTCCCGCTCATTGTATGGTTCATTATTTGTGAACAAGACACTCACAACAGTCTCTAACCCTTATATCAAATCCATCGAATTATTAGGCATTTGCTATTAACTTATAGACTTAATTTTCTCCTAAAGCAAAGTAATAACGGGTGGCCAAAACTCGATTTTCCCGCAGAGGAAAATAATAATATACATGCAAGCAGTAGGATAGCGTAAATAGCAATCGCTAGCTATATTTCTTGGGTTATGCGCTTGTTTAAATGAGTCCCTCACCAGAACCAGAACCAATAGCGTTGTTATTAAAGTGTTTTGAATTTAAAATTTATCTGTGTGATTCATTCTGACTACCCCTAGATCCCCCACCGAGCATTAAAGCGACTTTCTTATACCTCGCTGGCTGTTTTGGGAAGCGGTTACTTTATTTCAGTTACACTACATTTTTAGGTGTAGTCTTTGATGAGTGCTTAGCCTGGAAGGATCATATAGATACAATAACCGAAAAAGTTATAGAGTCATGAAGAATAATTACAAAACTGCGCTATTATACAAACCAAAATACCTTAAAATTAATCTACTATGCATTGGTCTATCCATATCTAATACATGGTAACTTGCTTTGTGAAAATACATACAAAAAACGAATTCAAAAACTCAAAAATATTCAAAAGAAGATTATACGTTTAATGACATTTAGCATTCACTTGGAAGTTGGATCATACTGAAAACCGTGAAAACATATTTCAGCATCTGAATATATTGAACTTAAGGAACTTACCTGATTTTTTTGCAAACTAGCTACTATACCTCAAATAGGGAAATAAACATAACACGAGAAATTCTATGAAATTTCATATAAGTCTTATCAAAGAACAAACTATTTGAATAATACTAATGAATATACATACTATTTACTCTCAATACTGTACCAAAAAACTTTATTATATATTCATTGCACTCATTTCACGCACTTACTTTTATTTGTAATAGGATCCTTAGCTGTAATGTAATATATCTAAGAATGGTTTTACTAGGGGTCTTAATCAAAAGCCTTTTGATGGTTTCTAGTAAGCCCCTAGCTCTAGATGTAAACATGTCATATACATCAGTTGAATTCTATTTGAGATCTTTTATCACCCAGTGGTAAGGTCGGACACAGTTTAGATAACCGCGTCTATTTCAGAAGCTCTTCGTGTGAATTTATCGTGGTTGAATGTGATATGAGGTGAGTTTAGATAATGCTTTGATTTTCACGGACTTACGAAAACAGGCTAAACAGCTGCAAATACCTATTTATTATATAATGACGATACTAACTCTTCTGACGAATACCCTCAGGTCGAAACGTCGAGAAGTGTTTTGTCTATTTTGACAGTTGTTATAACACATTTGATGCTAAGTCGTTTGAAGACGCTGCCACGCTACTCCTTGGTTATATTGGAAATTATATAATGTAAAATGATTAGCCGAATTCATATACTAGAGACGGAAAACTCATCTAGCTTAGACGGGAAAGTTCGTAAAAACCCATCTAAATATGAATAGGAATGGACTGATAAATCTACACTTGTGATGCATGGATCGGGTAATGCTAAAAGTGTATCGTAATTATTACGACAAAATTTAAAATTTTTTGTTTGTTTTCTCTTAGCCTTGTTTCGCTCTTGATCGTGTTGATATTTCAGAAACTCGTTTCATTTATCCGTCTAAATGTCTAAATTCGTTATTTAGTATAGTTTTGCTGATTTAACAACATCCGTTTCAGCCATAAATATAAGACAGAGCTTGTTTTGTTTACGTAATTACTTATGAGGTTTAAACAATCGCAGATAAATCAACACATATTAATAACATAAATATTTAGTAGCTAATAGCTGAGTGTATTCCTTACAATCGTCTATATATCTTTAGCTACGCATGTGCGCAGATGAGAAATAAAAACGCATATTGTGTAATGTGTTTTGTTGTACATTAAAGCCGCCATTATAACTATAAATTCATTATGAAAACCTATTGTTATATGAGAAACATTTTTAACGCTATTTAAAGTCCTTAAAGTCTTGTATGCACGCTCTAGCATGTCCTGACATGAGTGACCTCGGCTCTAAGGTTCGACTACATTTATAGCAAACAGTGGATTGCCATTTAGATGTTAATATCGATATACTAAGATCGGGAGTCAGCCATTTCTACGACATAATAACGCCACTGGGATTAAGAATATTGCTTGCACTGACTTTTATATCAATACTTGTGAACCTATAGCAAAGTGTTTAATATTTTTTTTAACTACGAAAACAATCTAGCGCAATAAACATGCTTCGTTTGAAACTGCTGGTAATCAATGTCCTGATCTCATGGATCTCATTTGTCTCTCTTGAAAAAAAGGTTAGATAATCTCGATGTTAATTATTTTATTGTTTGTCATCTCATCATTGATTCTTTTAATATGCCTCACTAAACAGAGTTTACAAACTTTTTTCTTAGTAGTTAGTACATAATAATGTAGTTTCATATTTCATTGTTAGCGTCCTTTTAACATTTGTATTCTACCTGATGAAGGCTAAAGACTAATAGCTATAAGCTTGTAATAAATTAATATTCCAATCAGAGATCCTTTCTCAATCGTTAAACAAAGTTGTTTTTCCCGGATTGTCCAAAAAACAAATTTGTTGATGTATCTTGACAGATTGTGGACATTCAAACAGGTTATGATCCTGGCTCGTGTGGCAAGAAGGAACATGGTTTGTTAAAATTGATCAAAGATCGTTCAAACAATGATAAACTGTTAATTTGCAAGAAAGAAAATGGAGTTTATACCTGGAAAACAACGGACGGTAATGTTCTATGTGTAATGTGTTTTAAAGTTCCACAATTTCAGTCTGTGAATTCCCGACGATTTGTTTAGTTTTTCGAACCGCACAAATGAACAACTATTTCGACTCTAGGTTCCAGTCCCTCTGGCGAATATTTCAACCCTGGCTACGACTGTACGGATATTCTGAATAAGAATTTTGAGTCTCGAGATGGATTTTATTGGATAAATTTGAATAAAGGTGCTCCCAAGAGGGTTGGTGAATTTGTCATTGGACGTATTTGTATTGCGATCCCTGAGTTTTTTTTTATAAATTCTCGCCAAGCAGTGCTTGCTCTTGCCGATTCGTAATTGTTTTCTTTACCGCAGGTTTATTGTGACATGACAACAGATGGAGGAGGATTTGCGCTGATTGGCGCTGATTGGCCTGATCTTTCAGGTATAACGAAGCATCGAGGTTTTGATGTACAGCAGAAATCGCATGAGGAAAGTGTCAACAAAACAGAGATAGATGATGTTTTGAAATATTTAGTGATTTCTGTATCATTATTACAGCTACAGTGTGGTGAGCGAAACATCTGGAATCAGTCACAATTCAACTGCATTTATCGGCTGTGATAAAGGAGTGGTACGTCAACTGAACTGTTGTCATTCCAGACTTTGTAGACTTTGAAAAAGCCTTCGAACTTTGCATAGGCGTATAATCTCAAACTTCTAGTTGTGCATAAAGTTTTGTGTCCTTATGTGCCTATATTGAACTGAATCTAAAGAATCATTCTGCATTTTAGTGCTGCAGTTGTTTTAGTCCACCAGATAGCACAGAAGATCTCTGTGGCACCGATTGTAAGGCAAAACCTGGCGCAAATGTGGTAAAGAATGTTTATTCGTGGTTTTGGGTGAGGACTTCTTCTCCAAAAAAAGTTTGGAACAAATGCATGGATTATAAAGTTTCTGAAGCCAACGGAGAGAAGGTCTGGTACAAGTTGGTTGGTCAAAACGTTGTCCCTAAGAGAGTAAGTCAGTATGAATTTGCTTCCCTGTCCCTGGTAGAGATAATTGACTTATATATTAATTGGCATTACAGTGTGTATTATCTTTCCTGTGATTATCTACTACTTCCCCATTTAGGGTCGTTGTTCCACAAACGAACCACTTTTAAATGATGGAGTAAGTATATAATAACACCATTATGCTGGTAATAATTCCATGCTCTGGTGCATTCCGATTTCATTTTTAAATCATTACTATCAATTGATGTTGTGCTTTCTACCGTATAAAATCTCATTTCTACTTATGAAAGAATTTTTGAATTTTCCATTTTTGTCTTAGATTATAGTTGTTCCTGATAATAAGACTGTTGGTAAAATTCCAGCAGTCCCAGGAATATTAAAATTTCGAAAGGACAATCAAAAACTTTATGTAAGATCACATGAAAGATGGAATGCAATTGCAGAAGAGAAAAAGGTAGCTACCGTATTATAATTATTTAGGAGCCATCTCTATTATATCATTTTTTACCGTCCCTATAAAAGCTTGTCCTAATCATTCATCGTTTATCTCAAATCGAATATTTTTCAGCCAAAAGTTCCCACTTCTTTTGTGCTTTTACTCTCCCTTTTAGGTCCTGTCTTTTCTTTAAGATTATATCATTATAGCTTGCTAACCTATCTTCAATTAGCAACCTCATCGTCATAGCGGTTGAAATTTGTTTGGATAATCATGTGATGGCGAGTACAATTCGGCATTAAAACTGTAGTATATGAACATAGGTAGCCCAGAAATGTTTTCCGGCGTTCTCGGGGCGCTCGCTCGTGACTCGTGTACGCGAGTCTACACGGTCTATTAGGGCAGTTTTCAAGTTGCGCGTTTTAGTTTCAAACGCAGGTACACGCACATAAAAGTCTAAATCCTGTTACATGTCACCATTAAAAAAACTAATTGAATATATCGAAGGAACTTAGTTTTCTGCATATTTTAGTATGCATTATTTGACCTAGATATTAAATTAAAAAAATTTAAAAGTACGTGTAGTTTTCCGAACGTGTACGTGCGTATAAAAAACGTGTAAGTGGAAAGCAGCCTTTATTATGACAAGATTGGCAAGTTTTTTTTGCTAACAGGGACCGCGGGGCAGAGTGGCTCAACCAATAATTTTTCTTAGTTCGTCTTTAATTTCGAATGTTTTTTAGTTCGCTCAAATTTACAAGCAATATTTTTAGCAATTTGAATTTTTTGCTTACAAGTATATGCAGTGTATCTTGAATTACTAACCAATTCAAAGAAATGGGTATTCTAATTTTCAACGATATCTCTCGTAATAAATCCACCATGTTTACAAATGGATTAAAATTAGTTATGTTCAGTACATATGTTTGGCTAAAATAAAAAAAAAAGAGACAAATTTAAGACAAGTATTTGACCATTAAAACAGCGTGGTTATTCTTGTCAAAATATTTGACATCATAACCAAAGCATGGTTACATTTTCCGGTATATTCGACCATGGTCGAATGTAGCGGTTTTCCGGCCATATCCGATGCTTCCAAGTTGCAACTTTATATAGATGTTTGTATAATTATGAGCACCAAACATGCTTGAAACTTAACATAGGACCTGGCAGCATTTGACCATTAAAACAGCGTGATTATCCATGGTCGAGTATACCGTTTTTTGGCCATATTCGACCATGGTCGAGTATTCCGTTTTCCGGAACCAAAGCATAGTTACATTGTTTCATGTTTGTATATGAGCGCCAAACATGCTGGAAACTTTACATTGGACAAGCATTTGACCATTAAAACAGCGTGGTTATCCATATCAAAATATTTGACATCATAACCAAAGCATGGTTATATTGTTTAATGCATGTTTGTATAATTATGAGCGTCAATCATGCTGGAAACTTTACAAAGTATCTACTATTTCAGAGGGCCATTTCAGAGTTCTATGTATATTTCAAAATTTTCCCGGACTCGATCTCCTAGCAGGCGCGCGGTTCCGAGCCCCAGCAATACGAAAAACGCTCCGCGGTCCATGACTAAAATATACTACAACGTTTGCTACGACTTGAATATCTTGCAAATTACAAATCGGTTTAAACGTCGGTAAGGTATATTCTTGTTATCTTGCACGTTTGCATGGAGACATCAAATAAGTAAATTGGCTTGCAGGTACACCACGTAAGCATTTAATACTGCAAAGTTTCGGTTCGTTACCCGGACCTTCCTCAGTGCAATATCAATGAAGCCCCGGGTTAACGTACCGAAAGCTTTACAGTATTATTTACTTACGTGGTGTGCCTATAAGCTAATTTTTTATTTTCAATTCAAAAACATGATGACACTGGCGTAGGGTAGGTGACCCCATGCGGGATAGTTTCGATAAAATTTTGCTAAAATCTCGCGAAACATTTGCTTCTTCAACATCCTTAAAATTAACGTTGGCTTCTTCAGCATCCTTAAAATTACCGGGATTTAAACCGATTCAATTTTTGCATTTTTTTATTTTAAATTTGCAAGATATTCAGGTTGTAGCAAACGTTGTAGTATATTTTAGTAAAGAAACTTTCCAACCTTGACATAATAATAGACCGAGTAGACTCACATACAAGTGCGAGCGCCACGAGAACGAAAACATTTTTGGGCTCCTATGGTACGAGTAATGTTTGGCCAAAATTGGATGAGCCGGCGGGAGCGAGTACATTGTACATTGACACAATTCTGGGGCGATGTACGTTGGCTCAATTTTCGTTTACCTCTTCCGCTTTTCTTATTTCCTCCAGGGTTGATTTTAAAAACCTAGTTTGACCTTGATGACGGCCTTACACCGCCGTGGCATACTTTCATCTCTTATCTCTTGCACTATCCCATTGACATTGTCCCACACGGATTTTCAATAGGGTTAAGGTCTTTTGTGCATGTGTGCAGTTCAATCCATTTCTGTCACCCCCTCCTCTTGAAACCATTGCTTAATTGACTCTCTTGGAGGTGTAGCAAGTTGCAGTACGGTATACTGAAATAATACGATATATGCGATAATAGCAAGATTTGATCAGATCTTTTTGACTGCCAGTGTATTATAAGCTTTAATCATTAACTTTTTGTCGTTTATAGCTTAACTCCGCCTTTGCGAAACTTACGGCTCGTTTGGATAACCTGACTCGGAATTTCGAAGACAAAGGTTCCGTAAAATGATAATTAAATAGATTATGTGCGTCCTAAATCATGACAACGAGTTGATAGAGTGCTTTTTCATGATCCTCTATAGAAGCTTGTATTCAAACTCATGCAGCCAGTTGCGCCCATTATTATAAATGCGGAATGAGACAAGACGGTGTTTATACGATCAATCCTGATGGCCTGGGATCGTTCCGAGTCTATTGTGATATGAACAGGGACAAGGGAGGCTGGACCGTGTTTCAAAGAAGACAAGATGGAAGTCAAGATTTCTACCATGGATGGTCAGACTATAAAGCAAGCTTTGGTGATCTCAACGGCGAGTTCTGGTTGGGCCTGGATAAAATACATCGTTTGTCCAAATCTGGTCAAAATATTCTAAGAGTTGATTTGATGGATTTCAATGGCACTGAACGTTACGCTAAATATGGTACGTTTAGTGTGGCTGATGAATCACACAAATACAGATTGAATATTGGCAGTTATTCAGGTAAATCACATTCTTCAGGTAAATCAAAATATCAAGTACTTGTTTATAATCAACTAAAGACTAAACATAGGAGCCGTGATAACACCAAATTTTTGCATTGATCATATTTTTCCACGGCTTTTGTTTAGTCTTCACTAAATTGCATTATATTTCATAAGATGATGTGCAAGGTTTTTACACCTTTCGTCATTTACGATGAGGAGAAACGGTGGCAAGCAAATGCACTCCTATTCAAACTGGAAATTAGCAGGTTGCGGAAAAAGCAGCTATACGTTCAGCAGCAATAGAACATGTGTTAATAGCATACTAGAACAGATTTTTTTCGCGGGTATTGAAGGATTTTGGAATTTTCATTATAAAATAACATGTATATAACGCATGTTCTGATTGGTTGAAGCCCGTGTTTGGATCAGGCCATCCAAAACACGGAAATTTCGCGGGAATTTAAAAACAAATTTATTATGATTTGTTATTTTATAAAACAATTATTTGATGGTTTCGGTATTTGGATGATCTGATCCAAACATTTAGGAATATTGCTCGAGTTAAGAAAAACTCACGCGCTTTTCTTAACTCTCGCAACATTCCTGCGTGTTTGGATCAGGCCATCCAAACACGGAAACCATTAAGTAATTGTTAATTCAAGTATCCTTAGCTTATAAACTTCATGTGATGAGTAAACGAAGGAAACTCATAAATAAAAATGGTTTGAAATATAATTCTGCATTTCATATTACATGTCGGGCATGCAGCAAAATGCTCAGGACACTAAAAACAGAATCATTATGAATGATCCGTGACTGAATAACCTACAAGGATTTGCCTACGAAATTTTATCAGATCCTCAATAAAGATATTTTTCACCCATTTCAACCTTCCATCTTAGTCTTATTGGGCATAAGATGGAGATTCGCTATTACGATTTTAGAACGAGGTCTAATAGCAAATTACTTTCCAGAAGGGCCCCATTAGCATTTAAATAGTGTTATAGAAAATTTCAAAAGATCACTTTCTGTTCTTAAATGTTATTCATTGAGAATTTTTTATTATAATTATTCTTAAAAGGTGACGCAGGTGATTCTCTGGCTTATCACAATCAAATGAAGTTCTCTACCAAGGATAGCGACAATGATGCTTGGGGTAGTAGTAATTGTGCGACGAACTACAAAGGAGCTTGGTGGCACAAAGACTGTCACTATTCAAACCTCAATGGCCTGTACCTGGGTGCAGGTCAGACTAGTACAAGCGGAATAAACTGGTTCCATTGGCGTTCACGGCATTCATTAAAAAAGGCGGAGATGAAAATTCGTCCAAGCCAGTTTTAAGATAAAAACACTTTAATCGCCAAGAACGTGAGTTTGAGGATGTTTTTGTATTTCAAATTGGTTATTATGTGATTTAATTCCGAATTAATTAATGTCGCAGTATTTTAAATCATTATTTAATTAATATTAAAGGCGGGTTAGGCCTGGTTTCCACTTCAACCGTATCGTAGCGAAACGTAGCGTATCTCATTGTTTAAATCTTTAGTTCTGGTCGAATACTTCGGAAACAAAGAAATACGCTACGTTACGCTACGATATGATGGAAGTGGAAAACAGGCTTACAGTCGCTTCTGCACCTCATGACAATGGTTCTGCTCATGACAATGAGTAGTCTATACTTGTTTCAAAATTGCTCAAATTTCTCACATAATAATAATAATTTATTTTTACAAACATCCATAATAGTAATAATTACATATAAAAGTAAAAAATATCAAGTTTTAATAAGGATCGGTATTTCCTTCCTTGTTTGGGTATTTACAGTTAAAAATAAGACTAGGAAAAGATGAATAAAAAAAATATGTACATAGTAATACCTACAAATAGAAAAAATTAATTAATGCAAGCTATGGCGTTTTGCTCTGAAAAGTCAATGTCGTTTGTTTCGTAAGTTCTTCTAATGCTTCGAGATCCTCTTAAACAAAGTAGGGCTGAACGTATAAGAGCAAAAGAAACTTTGGCCCTGACCCATTGCATTGTAGTTGTATAATTTTCCCCTTTCTTCGTCGCTAAGAGGTCAGATAATCGCTTGTGATACGTTTTAAATTCCTCTCCAATTCCACCTGTGGTCCAAAAATTAAGGGTGTGAATGTTCCTTGCTCCACTTCCAATACCCGACTACCATACTTGCGTTTCTTTTCATTCTCGTGTTGCCTGTAGATTTGCTCGGGGCTCTGTTCAAGATATGAATCTGCATTTGGGTGACATACCCTAACATCAAAGAATGCAGATCGTTGTCTCTCCCAGAAACCACGTGCATGTACATCTAAACGGGCATCTGGAGCTCTGTTAGCGCCCCTATTTAGTGTCTCTCCGATGATTGGTTGGAGGAGTGGTTCCACTTGGACATCATTGCATACAGTGCTTAGTAATTCAGCCTCAAGGTCGCGCAGTTCGTTGTGTCGTTGTATCACAAAACCTCCTCTCTTGCATATTATGGCATGGTCCATATCAAATACGTCTCCACATGGACATATCTTTGGTAGGTCAGAAATCTCCCAGTTATACCTCATCTTTATCGCATCTTTAAATTCACGCTTGTTGAGATCATAGTTCTGATCCTTTATAGGTACCACCGTGAGCCAACTTGATGCTCCTTTCTCTGATGCTAGTTCTGCAGATCTCGCGGATTTCGGGGATAGTGTACTCTTTACTTCTCCTGAACGCCTCCTTAGCTCTTCGTTTATCATTGCTCTTGCGTGAGATTTTGCGGATTGCACATCTACCACATCTGGAATTTGATGGTCTTGAGCGACAATATGGCGAACGAGGGGCTGTGTTACAGTGACAGATGCTTCGTATTCTAGACTAGAAGCTTCAGATGGATTTACCAAGCCTAGTCCCCCCATACGCACTGGGAGCGCGAGCAGGTTACGCTCTTCAGTAGTGACTGGCCGATCTGTGATAACAGGAATCAACACTTCTGATATCGCACATTCCAAGGGCGCAAGTAGATCAGTGATATCGGGAAGAGTCCGTAGGAAATACGTCCAGCGGTGTCGCAGGCCGAAAGTAAAGGCCGCGTAGCTCGCCTGAGGCTCAAATTTCTCATGTTTTGTAATAAACTCTTTCTCATATTCATTTAAAAGTATAGCGAACTAAAAGCGTGTCAAATATTCTGAAAGTTTTTGATATTTTAGGAAATATATACGGATTGGAAATGTGAACAAAGCGTTTGTTAACATTACGGCCAGACTGCGCCCTACCTTTAAGTGATGGTAATTAATGAATAAATTATAGCGTGCAATAATACGTTTGGCCATTTAGACATCAACAGTCCAGCACCATGCACTGCCATTCACAAAGGCGTGAAAAACATCTCATATATTTGACCTCTTCCCGCATAATGTGATTAGTCAACGTAAGAGATCGGGAGTGTACGTTTTCGAAACGTCATGCAAGGTTAATCTGAATTAAGATCTCTTACAAGTCGGGGCACAAAACACTGTTTGGCTGCTATCCGCGTTATTTCAAAAGCTTTATATCTGGTAAGTTGAATGTCGTTGTCATTTTTATATTCATCCGTAACTGCTTCTGAAACTACACCATATATTATACATATATACCAATGTTATGATTTTCTTATTCAATCATGCATAAAAATTCCGACGACATTCGTTTAAACAAGAAAATAATATATAATTTTATTTCTATAATATCTTTAGTTATAAGAATTAAGGGTTTATTTCAGAAATCATGGGTATCTCGACAGGTATTGATAACATATTGGGCTAATAATGAAGTGTATTTTTCAGGGTTTGAAATCGCAAAAATTTTCAGCCGATTGTAATTAAGCACTTTGAAATAGTTTGTCTCATTTTTCCCTGACAAATCTGACAAACAAGGTCAGTTTAAAAGTTTCATGCAATCCATACATATTTTGCGAATAGCACTATAAACCCGTTTGTGGCATGCTATACAACATATAATTCACGAACGAAGCTCCTCCGAAAACCGCCGTGTCGATATACCTTTTCGACAATAAATTAGCTCAACAAATGTAGAAAATCAGAGAAAACGTATTATATTCTCCCACTGCATGAATGTACAATCCAAAATCTCACTTTCTTACTAACGCAGTTCAAAACAGCAAGTACTCTCAGCAGAAATAGAGACAAAGTTGAAGGCAAGCTACGATAAGGTGTGTATAAATAAGCAAAATTTCTAAAAATGCATCTTACACGTACTTAGGCCTGGTTCTCGTATGTCGCAGACAGTCGGCGATGAATTGTTTGCGGTCGGTGAAGACGAAAATTTATACAAAATAGCAAGACACTTTATTGTCCAGTGATCACCGACAATGGTCATCGTCGAAAGTTGGTGACATATCAGAACCAGGCTTTATACTGCGATATTTCCCTCAACAGCAGATTATCAAATACAATTATGCTTTCTTCTTACCCAATCTCATTATGATAACCCAATTATAAGCTGTATTTGCGCTTTCAACATCTTGTAATATAAATAATACAATATATAACTATCACCAGACTGTATCACTTACGAGAAGTAGTGCCCGTTATTGACTGTTTATATTTGAATAAAGCAAACTCGCTAACTGTACAGCAGCAATCATTCTCGTTTTTTACTTGAGTTTATACTTGTTTATTGTTTGCACCGTGTACTGCTTTAGAGAACGGTTTTTAGAAACATCAGTCTACTGTATGTCATCACTCCACATCATCAACAGAAATGCAATTTCACGAAACTTTATATCGCGAGTCTTGCAGAGATCGATTCGAATCATCACTGAGAATCAATTTAATCGGCTTCAAACGTTCGTTTGGTCGTATACGGCGAGTCGCTTGGTTGATCGCGTTCATTTTTATCTGGAAACTTAATTGTCATTGTTTAGTTTGATATCAGGTAAGATTATATATTACTGCTATTAACATAGCATGGAAACTAAAAACTGCTATACAGCGTTGCAGTGTTAGGGTTTTCTGTACAACAAAGAACATCTGTGTATTTATATAACGCAAAATATTTGTTCTATAGAGCGTTCTTGCTTTATTCAGATTTACGGCGAGGTCTGTCATAAATCGTAAAAAATTAATCTATAAAAATGCTGTTCGTGCTTACACAGCATAAAAAAGCAGGTTGAAACGTTTCCAACTTTTATTAAGTATGTATTTACTTTTCGCACTTGAATCAACCTGCAACTGCTAGACTTATAAGAACGATAAATATGCATTCTCCAACAGCCCCAATTAGTCGAATTTAAGTCCCAACTCGGTCCCTGAATCCGTATTCGACATGCATTTTTCATTCCAATTTCCCGTTCCCGCGAATTTGATACCGTATATTAGTTTGGAGTCACATATAGCAATAATTTCAGCCAAGAATATAAGATAGCCTTGAGATAGGGGTTATTTCAGAAATGTCATCGTGCTTGCATGTGCAATTGCGGAGTGTCGAAAAAGATAATACATGATCTGTCCTACTTGTTAACATTCACCGAAGGCGTTAAACGAACGCAAAGTCTCATTACTGAACCAAACAATCGCTGAAATACAGTTTCCCATTGGCTAACAGCGCTGAATTCGTAGTATAGCAAGCTCTTACTGGACAAACGTTTAATAACGTTCGGCTTAATTTATTCGCACGAAAGTTGCCAGCTTGGAGAACTGAACGCTTGCTTCCTTGCTTACGTACGGAACATGGAATTTGCTTGCATGCATGAGGTGTTTTAACTCTGGACCTGTGGCTTGTCACACATTTTATGTTTCACAGCTCGGGGAAACGGTATATAGCTTACTCACGATAAACTTTCTAAGATCGTCGTGCATGTAGCTCTGTGCGAATGTATCCCAGTTTTAAATCATAGTATACTTGCTTGAATATATTACGAAGATATTTCTATTCCCGAAAGTACTGAATATTTTGGAATTCTTAAATCTGATCGTGAATCAAATGATATTACTACATTACTACACTGTACATGTAGCGATAACAAATCGATATTTCACCGGGGGTTAAGGTATAAAACGGGTTTTATATAACTCGATAGAAAGGGATCGCTGGAAAGTTTTATTGCTCTTTATTACGTTGTCGGAGCCGCACAAATAACTAATGTTATTCCCTTGTGACTCTTGTGGCTTTGCCTAGAAACGCTTCATATTATGAACAACTTGACATGTACGACACGATTAGGAAATTAGGAAATGTAATGATCTATAGATTAGGCGTGTACAGGTACCGACATATAGCTACGTTCGATCCGAAATTGATTTAGCGAATTGAAGCACAATAAATTCTTCAGAATGTGCACATTCTACAGTATAAACGATAGCTGCATATGAACATTTATATTACATATATTACAAATGCTGCCAGTCAGAATTCAACTTCATACGTTGGAAATTCATGACGGAATTTACGTTCGTTTAACGCCTTCGGTGAATGTTAACTACCATATGAACAAGCGACAATTACAAGTGCACTGCGAAATCCTGTACATGCAGAGTTATGTATCTTGTGGCTCTCCTACAGAATTGAAATAACGAAGGCTCTTATAATATTGAATCGGGCGCAAAAAATATATATTCTAGAGCTTATGGTAGTATTGCATCTAATCCCAGCTATTTAAAGCAGAAATACCAACGAACCTTCAGAAATCAGAAATTTCAATCATTCCAAAAATATGAGATCCAGGCTAATTATATAAGTGGACCGATTTCAATAAGTTAGTAAGCCCCGATTATCATATTTCTTTCTAGTCTTGTATTTCACATAGGCAAACAACTCGCTGTTTTAATATGCTGAACATGTTTCGCTTCATACTGCTGGTGATCAATGTCCTGATCACGTGGAACTCATTTGTCTCTCCTGAAATTAAGGTCAGATGCTTTCAATGTTAATTCTTGTTATCATTCACTTTATCGTATTCTCGATTTTGATTGGTTAATTTACCTGCAGTTAACCGTGCAAATAATACTCTGAGCATGCGCATTTATTAAAAACGTTGCTCAGCTGCAAATAATACTCTGAGTATGCGCATTGGCTTCAATTTTGTAAACAGTAATGGCGACTTGCTTTGCCGTACTTTCGGAAAATGAGTTGTATTACTTACTCGAAGAAAAAAACATGGAAAAATACCAAAAGAAATAATAAGAAATGTAAATGATTTAACAATTATTGGATGAGGTTGAGTGTGATATCGAGAATTATCAAACCGAAGTTTGCATTATTTGCCGAAGCGAAGCTGAGACGGATAACGCAAACTGAGGCTTGATAATTCTCGATATCATGCGAAAACCGAATTCAATAATTGTTTTATTATGTATTTCCTGCAATTTAAGTAACTGAAGACGCAGAGGGCTTTAGAAGATTTTGTAGAGAAGCCATTTATTGACACACAGAGCAACTGACGTAAACAATTTCAACTTTATTACAATTTCATTTTAATAACAAACGCGTTCATACAAATAAGTATATAAAAAACTTACAAGAAAGGCTTGAAACCATTTTTTAACAAAATCACAACTGTTATAAGTAATATATAAAGTTTTTGTGCAATGAGTCTGAGAACGGTGAACACTTTGACTTTACTTAATGTGAACATTACAGTTAAAAAAGTTAAAGTTTTTCGTAACTTCCAAGTTTTGTATATGGATTTCTTCCTGAGAAAGACTGAGAATAGGCGAATTCTGCCGGTGATTCTGCAAGGCGACATCATCGCTTTTCATTTCACACTGTATAGCTCGGGCTGTCGCCAAGGCTTCAGACATCTTCCTCTTCGTTGAAATATCAGTTTTGCAATAACTTCGGATGCTGGCTTCATTTCTGTCGCCGCTTACAGCCATGATGTGCCTTGCTTCAAACCCGGAGTTGTCAAGGATAGTAACGGCAGTTGCCCTAATCGAGTGATTGGTGTAACACTTTGAGAGCTTTGCCTCCTTTGAGATGTTTTTCATTTTTTCGCCAAGCGAACGCTCTCCGACAACCATGTTATCGTACCACAACTGATCGAACGAGTTGGCGTTTCTCTTCGGTCGTTGAAATAAAAACTCGCATTTCGGATTCAGGTGCTGTAGATACTTTTCAAATGAAGCCACAGGACAGTGTGGTCCCGGTTTCTGGAACATTGTTCCTCCTTCAAACCCATCATCGTCTTCTCTGCGGTTCTTGGTCAGTTCATCTGTTGTTTTGCACACGTATCTAGCTCCCTTTCCATCCATGCGAATTGAAAAACCAGTTTTCTTTAATTCGCGGAGGTTTTGTCTGCCACGGCGACAAAAGTACAACATTGTCTCGAAGAAAACTTTGTTTTGAAGTGTTTTGGGGCCGCTTTGATGGAAAACATCGCTTTCGTACAGTTTTTTTAGGTCTTCTTCACAGATTGGTGACTTGTGCTCGACTTTTGCTAGACCTTGTCGTTTTAGTTCAACGCACTTGGCATGAAAAACTTTGTTTGCTTGGCCAAATTCAGAGTCGTTGATAATATCAAAACCGTAGGTCGCCTTGTAGTGCCGGCACAATCCAAATCTTATGCTGGTCAGACTGTTTTTGCAGTAGGAACTTCCATCGGCTTTTCGTGCTTCGACATAAAAAATTTTTAATACGTTACAGATTTCATCTTTTGTTTTAGGTTCGCCTTCGTCCTTTTCCTTCAGATACACTGTTATTTTCAACGTGTTATTTTAACCCCCAAAATAGGGGTTACAAAAAAAAGTCTAAAATAAGCCCTTTTTGGGGGTTAAAGTGATCCCCCTATGGGTATTAAAATTTAACCCCGATTTTGGGATTAAAGTGACACCTATTTGGGTGTTAAAATGAGCCTGTTGGGTATTAAAAATTTAATCCCGTTTAGGGTGTTAAATTTACTTAATACCAATAAGGGATTAAAAGACACCGGTGTTAAAATAATTAATTGTGAACTTTTAAAAGCTCACCTAAAGGTAAATTACTTCGATGGAAAGACATTTTTCGCTTGATTTTCTTTTCAATTGTGATCTATCAAGTGAGTCTGCTTCGGTTTAATTTCACAATTGAAAAGAGAATTGAGCGAAATATTCCGTCCCATCGAAGATTTCCACCTCCACCTATATAGTGAAAAACCTTAATAATACCGAATCAACAAACAAGCAGCACAAATATCGTTATTATATATTATTATAATATTGAACACATGAGATCAATTACGTTTCCGTTTGAGTACAGCTAGTTAACTACGCATTAAAGGAATTGCTTCTATAGTATAGTTCTTTAATACTTTTTATTTACATTTTAATACACATGCACATTTGCAAAACAGTTAAAGAAAACGTTTTTAGGTGGAGTAGCATGCATGCATGAAACACAATGGTATAGTCATTAAGGCACTTGCTGTTCAGTTCTACTAAGCTAAGACTCACTCAACCAAGATGATGATCTGGCTGTAAGCAATTCTGATCCACGTTTCTTCTTTTACAATTTGCCTCGTAGTAAAATTTGCGGAGGTTTTCTGTTGTGCCAATTGCACGAGACGAGTCTTCATTCTACGAACAAATAGAAAAATTGCATGTATATGAGTGTAAATTTGAGTAGTGTACTGTGTATGCATACACTAGAGCACCTTGTTCAACAGACCTGCAAAATCTACATGTTCTACGTGATCCAAAATGCAAACATACTCAAACAATAAGCAGAAACATGTGAGTATAAGGAAGAAATAATTTCAAGTAATTTAGGCTTAGCAAATATAAAAAATCGAAAAAAATATTCCACATACCTAGATTTGCTGCCTCCAGTGTTATCAGTATAAGTTGCTTCGTCCATTGAAAATTGAACAGCTTTTTTTAGAGTTGTTTTCAATATCGTTTGCTAGGTTAGGGCTTTCTGGAATTGAAATGCATCCCAAATCTTCAGAAATTTTAATAATCCTTCAACCCACTTTGTCTTTGAGTTACCCATTGGCACTGCTTCTTCTACCCTCTATCGGGCATTGTGGACCTCTGTCCTTCTAAAGATACGAATGCGAATTGTTATAGACTATTAAATATCCCAGAACTTTAAAGGTAAATATCGGAGGCTCGCGATATCATGTATTCATGCTGATCAGAAACACAAAACACTTCCCTGTCATTTTTGCAACTGAAAAACTATTTTCCCAACAGCCCCACAGGAAAAAATAAATCGACCAGCATCAAAAATTATAGAAACAACTATTTGAAAAACATTTTAGAATCAAACTATCAGAATCTTGCAATAAATTTGTCTTTTTTTGCAGGCCAAGTTAACATGATAAAAAGGCGGGAAAACTAAATGCAAGAATAAGTTTAAATATTTACCTTGAAATAGCTCGCAGTAGTCGCCAAATCCAGCTTTACGCATCCACTGTTGGTAGTCCTCTATTGAGTTTACCATTTTCGAATGAATAGTACCGAGAATGAGCACTTTTCACGGAGCGAGCGAGGGCTTCGTGTGTACTTTGCAAATATTTCGACAAGAAAGACCCGGCCACTGAGCTATATAAAGACCTGAAGTCTTAGCATAGGTATCCCTGGCAATTCAACTCACATCATGAGGTTTTCTTTTTCTTGATTAGTTGAGTCAGTTTGTCTTGATTTTTATATAATCAACTGCCAAAATTTGAAAGGAAAGTTAATGTTAAGACACTATCACTAATGTTTTGTACTTTATTAATTTATGAGCATACTCTGTTGTACCTAACAAAACACTTACTTTTTCAGTTTAATCAGAAATCAATTTTAAGATATTTGACCTTTTGAATTAACATTCTTGATGGCTCATTAAAGTTAAATTTTCATATATGAGAAACAATTAATTTATTTGTCTTTTCCAATGTCCCACTTGTAGACCTCAATAACATTTATGCAAAATAACCAGCAACATCAAATCATAGATTAATTAGCCTTGCAATACATATTATGTATAATTATGGCTCTAAATTATCTGCACTGTTCCATGCTTGATTCACATGATCTACACTGTTCAATGCATGGTTCTTTGACAAATAATATGAACAAAAAATTGTATTTATAGCCTGAGGAGAATATAGCTTGTTAACTATATATGTATACAACATGTTTAAGGGTCAGTTTTGAGAGATGGATTACTTAAAAATTTGTAGCATAAAAGATATCATCAAGGTTTTAAATGCCACTTAACTCTCATATATGTTAAAACTTATCCAAAAATGGAGCAATCAATTTTTTATAGCACTTAAATAGCTAATGCATTTGAGCATTACACTCAAATATCAACCAACTTTCAGACAATTAATGTGCAAGAAATCCAAGCATGCTTGTTCATTCAATAATAAATCAAATACCAAAGATTTTCCTGTTTTTTTGTTAATTATTTTGTAATGAATCTTCTTTATTTTTATATCCAGGATCACCCTAAAACAACCATGAAATGTGGGAAGTTGTAATATTATAAAACCCATTCCTGGTACTTTTTAAACATAGTTTTTACTGAATAATTCATGAATAAATCATGTTCTAAAGTACCAAATAAAATGTAAACTTGGGCAATTTACATTTCCATGATAATATATCAAGTGAGCTATTTTATATAGTCTGTTGAAAATGTGATTTCGAATTTTTTTGTGATTTAGATGTTAGAGTAATGTGAGATAATGTTTAAGCAACGTATATGCTCCTTTATCGTTATAAACATTGACGTTTTGGTCATTAGAATTCGATATATAATGATCGGTAGTCAATGCTTTATTCCAGCCGATCGACCATGTATTTCGCTATCTAACGGTTGATTCTATGACATTTATCGTTATAAACTTACCACAACTATCCGAGGCATTCTTTTCATCACGTATTCTGATGTAGTAAATGATTTCAATACAAAATTTTGTTCAATTTCAATAAAAATTAACATTAACGCGATGTGCATCACCAATCTTCACTCCTTGTTTTCAAATCTCCATTATGAATATATAATGTAGAACTCGTTACTCCACCGAGGAGTTCCGAGGAGTTAATATAACTCCAAAAGTGGTGTCAAAATAGCACCAAAATTTAACACCCCAAAAATGAAAGTTTTAACCCCTCAAATAGTGCTAATTTAATCCCAACGAGGTGTTTTTTAACCCCAATATTGGGGTTAAAGTAGTTCAAAATTTTTAATACCCTTAAAAACCCTTTCATAGGGTATTAAAATAACACCTTGAAAATAACAGTGTACTCATTAAAAACTTTTCTGGCTGACAGTGTAGCTTTTTTCGTGTTTTTGGCGTCCTTATTCTCAACAAGCTGGGCCAAGTCAGTTTGAGAAACAGTTGCAAACCTCGAGGAAGCCTGCGCCAAACTACAACAAACTAGGTCAACAAACTAAATTACGTCACCTACGGATAATTTTCAATGTCGCGTAGGTGGCAAGACATTGAGAATTATCTGTAGGTTTTTAGCCAATCACAATCGAGATTGCATTAGTAATGCATAATAAAAAACAATTATTGAACTCGGTTCTCGCAAAATATCGTGATTTGTCGGTGGCTTGCAGATCAATTATTAACCTCTGTATATGACATCGGAAAATCATTGGATATGCTCGCCTCCGACTATTCACGATATTTTTCTCAACCTCGTCCAATAATTGATTATCATCGCCTCATTACCGATTATCTCCAGTCTCGTTCACGTTAAATCAAAATAAATTTTTTTGCTGTATTTTACCAGAGTGTGGACATTCAAACAGGTTATGATCCTGGCTCGTGTAGCAAGAAGGAACGTGGTTTGTTGAAATTGATCAAAGATCGTTCTAACAATGATAAACTGTTAATTTGCGCTGAACAAAATGGAGTTTATGCCTGGAAAACAACGGACGGTAAAGTTCTATGCGTAACGTGCAAAAGTTCCAGAATATTCTGTCAAATCCTGACAAATGAACAATCATTTCCATTCTAGGTTCCAGTCCGTCTGGCGAATATTTCAACCCCGGCTACGACTGCACGGATATCTTGAATAAGAATTTTGAGTCTCGAGATGGATTTTATTGGATAAATTTGAATCGAGGTGCTCCCAAGAGGGTTGGTGAATTTATTATTGGTCCTTTTTATAATTCGATCCCGAGTTTTGATATATTCAGCTGGTTCTAGCCGATACATTTCTTTTTAAGTGGAATAGTTTACAATAGAAATCCGACGGGCAGAATTAAATATATAAACATTCCTCCCCCCCCCCTCAATTATCGTTCTAGTTACGCCCGCCCAAGCAGTGCTATTTTCTTAACTGCCCATTCTTAATTGCTCATTTTTACCGCAGGTTTATTGTGACATGACAACAGATGGAGGGGGATTTGCGTTGATTGGTAAACTCAACAGTTCTGTAACATGGAAAGTTCCGTCCAAAAACACAACAGTTGATCCATTTGGTAAATCTCAGTGGTCCAGTGATCTCGGTGACGCTCAAGTTCTTGATTTCAGAATACAAATATCAACCACGGAAAACTTAGCTAAAGCAAATGCTCACTGGTAATAATAAATTAAACTTATTGTCTTTTGAAAATCTAATATCAAATCTCCAAACTGCTTTGAATCACATACCACCACGGTACATCAAGAAAACACCCTCATATATAAGAAATCTGTCAATCTAAGATCAAATTATTCCATCGCTTGAGTCTTCAATATTCCAGCAACTGAATATTTATGCACTCAAACCATCTTTCTAAACCAAAACATCTTCCTAAAAATTATTCCTTATCTTTGCAGGTCCTACAGACTGCGAAATACCCGGCCTCTTAAAAATATCATGATTGTTAATCAGGGGGGTTGTGGAGCAACATCACCAGGCATTGGTGACATCGCTTATGTCAAAGATCTCCGGACTGAGAAAATTGTCGCGACAAAATTTCGCTGCTCACAGTTTGGAACACATCAACACTTTTTTCTAAAAATTGGCTGGGTTGGTATTTAGCGTTGTTGCTCATATTCCTATTTAGAATTTTAGTGATGGTTCAACAAACCGTTTGTTCGCGGTATACTTCATTGCTTTTATGTTAAAAAACGAGCATTTTTCATTTGCTTAGTTCCTGAAATACACAAATCAAATACGTTTTCCATTTATTTTCAGGCAATGATGAACGAATGCTTCGAAAAACAATGTCCTCAAGGTTTTGCTTTTCACCCAAAGTATCCCATTCAAACTGACTCGTCGGGGTCTTTCAGGTATAACTTAGCAACGACATTTGGATGCACTAACCGTATCTTATTTCTATACGGGTCCCCGTTTTTGATCAAGGTGGCAAAAGGGGATGCTGATTTGGATTCAATTCTAAAAACTATACCCTGTCAAAATGGAAATTGCACCTCACCTCCCCCCCCCCCTCTTACTCAACGGTTCTTTTTTTTAAATTAAACGGAATATCGTATTCCGGATATATATTGCTTTTAAAAAAATTGCTATCAAGGCGTTTGTTTTATCGTAACATTATTTACAAATTCGAAATAGCAACTGTAGTCAATAACGGTTTTCAGCGTCTTCATAGAATATAATAGATTGTGCAGCGGAGATGTTTACTAAAGTTGAAATCACATGATGCACGAAATCACCAACAAATAATTTTTTGACCATTTCTGTATATTCTGTATATTACAGCTACAGTGTGGTGAGCGAAACATCTGGAATCAGTCGCAATTCAACCGCATTTATCGGCTGTGATAAAGGAGCGGTACGTCAACAGAACTGTTGTCATTCCAGACTTTGCAGAATTTAAATTCTCTGAACTATGCGTGTATCTTGGATAGCTACGTTAGCATTTTTAAACAATTAAGGCTTCGAACTTCGTCTCACTTTAACTTCGCTATGATCCCACTCTATGGCTTTGATGGCTGATAGGCGTATAAACCAAGACTTGTAGTTATGATAAAGTGTTGAGTCCATGTATGCACAATCCAAGGTGTCAATCTCATTTTTAGTGCTGCAGTTGTTTTAGTCCGCCAGATAGCACAGAAGATCTCTGTGGCACCGATTGTAAGGCGAAACCTGGCGCAAATGTGATAAAGAATGTTTATTCATGGTTCTGGGTGAGGACATCTTTACCAAAAAAAGTTTGGAACAAATGCATGGATTATAAAGTTTCGGAAGCGAACGGAGACGAGGTCTGGTACAAGTTGGTTGGTCAAAACGTTGTCCCTAAGAGGGTAAGTTAGTATCAATTTGCTCCACTGTCCGTGGTAGAATGAGGCCAGGCCTTCCAAGTGATTATCTGTTACTTTCTTTTAGGGTCGTTGCTCCAGAAACGAGCCGCTTTTGACTGATGGAGTAAGTAATAAAATCATATAATAGTAATAATTCTCTGCCCTGGTCCATTACGATTTCATTTTTAAATCATTACTATCAATTGTTGTTGTGCTTTCTATTGTATACTACTTTTCTAGCTTTGGTGAAAGAATTTTTGAATTTCCATTTTTATCCTAGATTGTAGTTGTTCCTGATAATAAGACTGTTGGTAAAATTCCAGCAGTCCCAGGAATATTAAAATTTCGAAAGGACAATCAAAAACTTTATGTAAGATCAAATGAAAGATGGAATGCAATTGCAGATGAGAAAAAGGTAGTTATTACAGTTAGGAGCCATCTCTATAATATCGTTTTCTCCACCTTTCCTATACAAGCTTGTAGCTATTAATCAATCATAATTTCAATCTTAAACCTACAATAGTATTTTTAGTCCAAAATTTCTCGCTTCTCTTTTCCTTTTACTTTCCCTTTTGCAAATTCCCAGGTTATATAGCTTGCTAACCTATCATCAAAGCGTCAAAATTTTTATAAGTAATCATGCGATGACGAGTAAAAATCGGCGTTAATATAGTACAAGTGAAGTTTAGAAATTTTGCCAAAATTGTACGAGCCACTGGGGTGAGTAGTATTAATCCCTAATTCTTCGAGCAATATCGCATTATTATTTGTTTATTATTAAGCGTGCATGATAGCATTTTTGTATTTTCATCGCGATTTCTCGGGGCATATTTTTTTGTCAAAACACAGATTTCCCAGACCAATATAAAGTACATTGAAACTATCATCCTTCACTTTCCTAGCTTTTCTTACTTCCTCAAGGGTTGTTGTTTAGTTTGTTTGCATATCACTAGTTGACCCCGTTAAAAATCAGTTCGTAATTATATTATAATAAGATTAATATTTAAGGCCATGTTAAACGGAGCAATTTTTCTTGCAACTTGCAATGCAATTCTACTTTTGAGATATGTAAATTTGGAAACTACAAAACTTTTATGTTCATTACACTCCATGTACGTTTCCTACACTTACATTTTGAATACTCTCCACTAATTTACATCTCTTAAAAGTAGGACTGCATTGCAAGTTGCAAGAAAAATTGTGTAACATGACCTTTGTCATTTTATCGTTTATAGCTTAAGTTACTTAACTCCGCCTTTGCAAAACTTACGGCTCGTTTGGATGACCTGACTCGGAATTTTGAAGCTAAAGGTGCCGTAAAATGATCACTAAATGGAATATGTGCGTCTTAAATCATTACACCGGGTTCATAGAGTGCCAATTTATGCTTCTCTAGACGTCTGTGTTCAAACTCATGCAGCCAGTTGCGCCCATTATTATAAATGCGGAATAAGACATGATGATGTTTATATGATCAATCCTGATGGCCTGGGATCGTTCCGAGTCTATTGTGTTATGAACGGTGATGGAGGTGGCTGGACTGTGTTTCAAAGAAGACAAGATGGAAGTCAAGATTTCTACCTTGGATGGTCTGACTATAAAGAAGGGTTTGGTAATCTATACGGAGACTTCTGGCTGGGCCTGGATAAAATACATCGTTTGACGAAATCTGGCCAAAATGTTCTAAGAGTTGATTATATGGATTTCAATGGCGCTGAACGTTACGCTAAATATGGAACGTTTAGTGTGGCTGATGAATCAGACAAATACAGATTGAATATTGGCAGTTATTCGGGTAAACCACACTCTTGGTAAAAATAATATAGATACACCTCTTTTAAAACTTATACGTGTATACCAGTAGGTACTCAGCCAACAAAAATATCAAGTATTGGTTTAAAATAAACTAAGGATTATACATAGGAACCGTAATAACACGAAGTTTTTGCATTGAGCATTTTTTTGTTTCAATTATTTTCATGACAAAAATACGAGCAGGTTGTAGGTATATATGCTGGCAAAAAAACCGAGCTATTTATAAAATTAAATTTCATCCACTTATTGCATTCTATTCCAAAAGATCGTGTTGATGGAAGTTTGTATATTTAACAATCATGCAAGGTTTTAGCACCTTTCGTCATCAACGATGAGGAGGAGCGATGGCATAAGCACTCCAATTCAAACTGCTAGAAGACAATCGAATCGATTTAGGCGGTTTGACGAAATTGGGAGGTTGCAGAAAAGGCAGCTATAGGTTTAGCAGGAATTGATGTTCGCTGGTATTGCAGGATTTTGAAATTTTTATTCAAGTATCCTTAGGTTATGAACTTCATTTGATGAGTAAAGGAAGAAAGAATGGCTTGAAATAATATCTGCATTTCATATTACACGTCGGGCTTGCAACAAAATGCTCAGGCCACTAAAAACAGAATTATTATGAATGATCCGTAACTGAAAAACCTACAAGGTTTTGCCTACAAAATTTTGATCAGATCCTCAGTAAAAGTATTTTTCACCCATTTCAACCTTCCATCTTAGTCTTGTTTGCCTAAGATGCAAATTCGCTATTACGATTTTAGAACGAGGTCTAATAGCAAAGACAGATTACTTTCCAGAAGGGCTCCATTAGAATTTAAATAGTGTTATAGAAAATTTCAAAAAAGTTTCTGTTTTTAAATGTTATTCGTTGAGAATTTTTTTATGGTATTTCTTAAAAGGTGACGCAAGTGATTCTCTGGCTTATCACAATCAAATGCAGTTCACTACGAAGGATAACGACAATGATGCGCGAAGTTATGAGAATTGTGCTACGAGATATAAAGGAGCTTGGTGGTACAACAGCTGTTATTATTCCAACCTTAATGGCCTGTACCTGGGTGCAGGTCACAGTAGTGACACCGTAATGAACTGGTACCTTTGGAAAAATTCACATTATTCATTGAAAAAGGCGGAGATGAAAATTCGTCCCAACTGGTTTTAGACAAAAGACACTTTTGTCACCAAGAACGTGATTTTGAGGATGTGTTTTGAGTCCCAAGTTTCAAATTGGTTATTATGTGATTTAAATCCGAATTAATTAGTGTCGCACTATTTTGAATAAATATTTAATGAATAAATTATAGCGTGCTGTAATACCTTTAGCCCTTTGGACAGGAGCAATCCAGCACCGTGCACTGCCATATTTGATTTATTTTCATCACCCTACTTCCCGCATAATGTGATCAGTCAACGTAAGAGATCGGGAGTGCACGTTTTCGAAACGTCATGCAAGGTTAATCTGAATTAAGATCTCTTACAAGTCAGGGCACAAAACACAGTTTGGCCGCTAACCGCGTTATTTCAGAAGCTTTGTATATCTGGTAAGTTGAATGTCGTTGTCATATAAATGAATATCCACAATTGCGTCAAAAACTACACCATATATTACATATTACCAATGCCGTTATAGTCTCTTATTCAATAATAAAAATTCCGACGACATCTGTTTCAGCAACAAATATAAGAATTTAGTTCTATAAGAATAGTTATAAGAATTAAGAGTTTATTTCAGAAATCGTGGGTATGTCGACAGGTATTCATGGATAACGTAATTTATTGGACTAATAATGAAGTGTATTTTTCAGTTTGTTTTTCATGTTCTAACATGTTCTGACCTTCTGAAGGGTTCAACTATTGTTATAACAAATCGTATTGCAATTCAGCGCAGGTTGCTAGTTTAATTCACCGGATGTTATTTATTACGTTAGCTGAAAGATGAGGCAAAGTGAGTGGGCCTGTATCTGCTAAAATCTAGACGAAAGCTGCTCTTTCCGCCGTGAAAGAATTTTTTCCGGCCACCAAGTCTGTGAAAACGACCCATTGTCATCAGATGATTATCACAATTTATAACACGAGTAAGCGCGTCTAATCATCCAGCAATCGATGTTGCAGATGGATTGCTATCTACACGAAGTGAAAAATCTCTATTTTTTACCTTAAAATTTAATAGTTTTTGACCCGGAATGGATTTTAAAAAAAAGGAGGGAAATTGCATGTTCCACGCAGTGGAAAATATACGACCTTGATATTGGGTATAGGACGCAAAAATCTGTTTATGGTAGTTCTTTTTCTTAATTCCAAAAAACTGCATCCATAGATATATTAAAGATACCAGCATAGATAGATATAAAATACCAGCATAGATATAAGATGTATAAGCCTGACTTCAGAGGTCGTATTCCTCATTTCATAAATAGCTCTCGGGACCCAGATTAATACGCATATGATTTTTTTAAGTCCGGATTATCATTTAATAATATTTTCTTCTTATCGTTTTTCACTACGCTAACAACTTGCTGTTCCAGCGCGCTGAACATGTCAGTTTACTTTAAACTGCTGATAATCACTATCCTGATCTCACGGATCTCATTTGTTTCACCTGAAATTAAGGTCAGGTGATTTCAATGTTAATTCTTGGTATTGCATCATTGTTAACATTAGTTTACTAAGTCTTAACTATGACATTAATTAAGCAAGAGAACTTATTCAGGTAAAACACACCCTGCTTGGTGTGTTATTTACCATACACATGATTATGAAAGTTCAAAATTATACCATATTTCATCAACATGCGCCTTTTTATTCCTAATAACACTACCACCAGGGGCCAGTTGTATAAAAGACTATAGTTAACTTTTAACTGCAGAGAAAATTGACCAATCAGAGTCGTGTATTTCTGGGTTAACTAGGATTTAACTATGCAAAATGCATTTAAAGAGTTTTATACAACCGGCCAGGTTTTGATTTTACCATAATTATGCCAGTTTTTTTCGTTTTAATTATTGTTTTGATAAAACTGTCAGGTTGCAAGAACCATGCCGGCAAAAACAACTGAGCGCTTCTGTGGTATTTTCAGGGCACAAAAAATACATGATTGAATTTTTCAAATTTAACAAGGTACTTACACCTCAAAGTTATTCCACCTTTTGTCATTAACGATGTTGAACTTCATTTGTTAATTAAATGACTCGCAGGCGACTCCCTCGCTTATCAAAACCAGATGCAGTTCACTACCAAGGATAGTGACAATGATGTTAATAGTGATAATTGTGCTACGAAGTACGAAGGAGCTTGGTGGACAAGACCTGTTATTCTTCCAACCTCAATGGCCTGTACCTGGGTGCAGGTCAGAATGACGGCACCGGAATAAACTGGTCTGGTTGGCACTATTTTTTAATGAAAAAAACGGAGATAAAAATTCGTCCAAGCCAGTTTTGAGGTTGAGGCAGGGACATAATTATAGTTACTGGCAAACTATACAAACTGGCAAAAATCCCCAAAACATAAGTTTGGCGATTTTTTCTGCATCCTAAACATAACAAGATAAAGTTATTTTCGATTGGTTATTATGTGATTTTAGTTCGTCAAAGATTTGCTCCAATGCCCGAAACAATTAATATTTTTGCCCTATTTTAATAAAATCATTAATATCAAGTAGGATATAAAGCAGTAATAATCTTGTTTTTGAATCCATATTATAGTAAGTTAAAGTTATCCCCAATTTGTTATTCTGTAATTTGCGTAAAATATGCTCTAACATGCTGGAACGAATTCATTAATGGCACGCTTTTAATTCAATGAATTAATTAAATAATTAATTAATATAAGTTTATTTATATTATTTAATAAATATTGCATATAATATAATGTTACACGTTTGAAAATTGCATGTTGGTTGGTTAAAGTCGCATTTAGCCATCATAAGAGGTGGCACTCTATACAACAATATTCACGAACGATCGAAGCCCCTTCAAAAACCGCTGTGTGGATATACCTTTTCGAGAATAAATTAGCTCAACAAATGTAGAAAATCAGAGAAAACGTATTATATTCTCCCACTGCATGAATGTACGATCCAAAATCTTACCTTCTTACTAACGCAGTTCATAACAGCAAGTACTCTCAGCAGAAACATGGACAAAGTTGAAGGCAAGCTGCGATAAGGTGTGTATAAAGAAGCAACATTTCTAAAAATGGATCTTCCACGTACTTAGGCCTGGTTCTCGTTAGTCGCAGGCAGTCGGCGATGAATTGTTTGCGGTCAGTGACGAAGAAAATTTATACAAAATAGCAAGGCACTTTATTGTCCAGTGATCACCCACAATGGTCATCGTCGACAGTAGGTGACATATCAGAACCAGGCTTTATACTGCGATATTTCTCTCAAAAGCAGATTATCATAATCAATTATGCTTTCTTCTTACCCTACCTCATTATGATAATCCATATAAGCCGCATTTGCGCTTTCAACGTCTTGTAATATAAATAATACAATATATAACTATCGCCACACCGTATCACTTACGAGAAGAGTCCTTCATTGACAGTTTAAATTTGAAAAAAGCAAACTCGTTAGCTACAGCAGCAATCGATCTCGTATTTTACTTGTGTTTACACTTGTTTATCGCTTTTACTGCATAGCCAAATGTATGGATGTAGATACCTGCACCGTGTACTGCTTTAGATAACGGTTTTTAGAAACATCCCAATTAAACTGATCATCAGTCTACTGCATGTCATCACTCCAAATTAATCATCAACAGAAATGCACTTTCACGAAACTTTAGATCACAAGTCATGCAGAGATCGATTCGAAACATCAAGGGTCAATTTAATCGGCTTCAAACATTCGTTTAGTCGCATACGAGTCGCTTAGCTGATCGCGTTCATTTTTATCTGGAAACTTAATTGTCATTGCTTAGTTTGATATAAGGTAAGATTATATATTACTGCTATTAACATGGCATGGAAATTAAAAACTGCTATGCGGCAGAGTCAGGGTTTTCTGTACAACAAAGAACATCTGTCTATTTATATATATAACGCAAAAGATTTGTTCTAGAGCGTTCTTGCTTTATTCAGATATACGGGTGACGTCTGGTCATAAATCGTCAAAAATTAATCTATAAAAATGCTGTTCGTGCTTACAAAGCATAAAAAAACAAAAAAGCAGGTTGAAACGTTTTCAACTTTCATTAGAGAGTTTTAGTTTGACGTTTTTTCTTTAACCGCGAACCGCAAACCGCGGCTTGACGTTAAAATTTTGCCGTTTGACGTTTGCGGTTCACGTTTTCAACAGCAGCATGGAGGTGTATTTTCACGTAGCTCCTTTACCTCAGCGAATTGTCATTGCAATAGTGCCTCGTTTCACACTTCTAGTAGACATATTGGATATCTAAATTTTCTTTGTTAATTTTCCAGCCTGTTTTCAAAAAGTTTACCAGTTTTCTTTAAGAAAGCGACTACCACTATTCAATAACACGACTAGCAATATGGCGGTTTACCACGATATCGTATTTCGATAGTCGATTATTGAAATTGAGGTTCTTTTCAACCCAGGTGTAAATAACATTTGATTTAAAAAAACCGAAGCATTAGCAATAGCTAAAAGCAATTTAATAGCGAAACTGTTTACTGAATGCCAATGTTGAATCGTTCGAACATAAGGTGTAGGTAAATGACCGCGAACTAAAAGTCAAATTTGTAACAACGGCAACGTGAAACCGCTAACGTGAAACCGCGGTTTGCAGTTTGCCGTAAACGTCAAACTAAAACTCTCTATTAAGTTTGAATTTACTCTTCGCACTTAAATCAACCTGCAACGGCCAGACTCATAAGAACGATAAGTATGCATCCTCCAACAGCCCCAATTAGTCCACTTTAAGTCCAAAACTCGGTCCCTGAATCCGTATTCGACATGCATTTTTCATTCCAATTTCCCGTTCCCTCGAATTTGATATCGTATATTAGTTTGAAGTCATATATAGCCATAATTTCAGCCAAAAATATAAGATATATTTTAAGTAGGGTTTATTTCAGAAATGCCATTATGCTTGCAATCGTGGAGTGTTGAAAAATATAATACATGACCTGTCCTACTATATGAACAAGCGACAATTCCAAGTGCATTGTGAGTGCATTGCGAAATCCTATACAGAGTTATGTGTCTGTGGCTATCCTACAGATCGAATTGAAAAAACGAAGGCTCTTGCCCCTCTTCTAATATTGAGTTGGGCGCAAAAAATATCATGATATTCTAGAGCT